TTGGGAGTAATGGTAATATATAATGTGCAAGGACATGTGGGAAAAGACACATTTTCTAAAGTGATCCTTCCCATAGTGCAGCCAGAAAGTCATAGAGACAGAAAATCACTCAAACTGGCAATCCACTCAAATCTAAAATCACTCAGCAGTCATCAGAGACTCTTGAGGCCTGACAGAGAGTAGCTGTCATATATTCACACAAGGACACTTACATCAGCCCAGTCAGGTGTGTGTGTGTGTGTGTGTGTGTTGTGTGTGTTTGTGTGTGTGTGTGTGTGTGTGTATATGTGTGTGTGTGTGTGTGTCTGTGTGTGTGTGTGCGTGTGCGTGTGCGTGTGCGCGTGCGTGTGTGTGTGCGTGTGTGTGTGTGTGTGTGTGTGGTTCTGCACTGGGATGTATGTGCCTAAGCATGCAAATGTGAAGTTTGTATTGGTTGTTTAAGATTGAGTGTGATAATATTTATATCTGAATGTGTGCCATGCACTCTCACTTATGTGCTGCCGTGTAAGGGCTTAAGAGCCATTCCCCTGGTTCAGATTATTTCAGTGTTGACTAAATAAAAATCATTATCTGATCTGGCTTAATATTATAAAACCCCCGCTCTGGACACATACTGTAAAAACGTTATAAACAGTATACATTTAAATGGTATTATGCATTAAAAAAATCCGTATGACATTTACTGTCCCTGAGGTATATTTTGATTGACAGATATGATACCTCATATTATCAGCTCCTACCATCATGCTCTGTGTCAGTAATGGACACGTTGCAGTCAAGGGGGTGCAGAGGTTAAGTTATTAAGAGCGCAAGTAATTGATACTTAATTTCATTCCTTTCTTTTACAAGTCAGCACAACAAACAAAGCTGAGCTGTCAGAAGCTCTTAAGTTAAAAGGCCTGCCTACATCACACACACAAAGGACTGAGAAAAAGATACTTTATTTCCCTCTTGAGACCATGCCAGAAAAAATAGAGAAGATCACAGTTGAGTAAGGCATTGCCTTAAACGAAGATGCCATTATTTCAAAGAGTGACATGCGGCATGCTCGTCTTTGATATAAGTGTGACACCAAGTTAATGAGATATCAAGTCTGAGGTGCAACACCTCTTAGTTTATTGAACGCCTTGATCATTGACTAGAATGGCAGAGACGCATATATCACCCTGTGACAAGCCTCACCCTGCAGAATTCGCCTGGCTTAACATGTGTGTGTGTGTTAAGTGTATGTGTGTGCGGGTGTGTATCAATGCATGTGAGTAAATGTCTTGGTGTATAAAGCATACCGCTTATGGACATGTGTTTTTGTGTGCATATGAGTGCCTCCACATGCACAGGCATCTGTGTCTGTGCGTGCATATATTTATGCAAGTGATACCAGAGACAGCTAAGACACTGACCCGTTCTGACATATAATATCATTCTGCTGCAGGGGATCGAAACTGAAAAGGAAGAAAATCCATAGTGCACAGGAGACGACGAGTAAGAGGTTTATTGTGAAAGAGAAAAAGGCCTGAGAGAAAGATCGTGAGAGGAAGAGGCAAAAGCATCCTCAGGAAAAGGAGAGAGAGCATGACACTGAGGGGGAAAATATATCAAGTTCTTAACCTCACAGGAATCAAATATAGCAAAGGGACTGGATGAAAGAAGATAAACACATCCAAACAAATCAAACGGAGACACAGTACAAAATATGTCTGAGTCTGACTGACTCATGGGGTCTGTTAATAAGATCATGGCCTTCCAAATAGCCTCCGGCTTGAAAACACTATTCCAGGTACTGTTCACTGCCTTCCAAATGTATTTGTCAGTGTGAGACGAAATTATAACAGGTTTAAAGTCTATTCTCAAGGATTTGCTTTTAGGTCAAAACTTAAAAGCATGTGTTTGTGAAGTCAATTTACCTTGTGACACCTTTTTTCTCTATCTGGCCATCTCCAAGGTAAAATTCTACCTCAGCAATTTTCTCTAAAATGAATATTTTTCCAGGCACTAAATACTAAATGTGAAGGAAAATATAACCGTTAATGAATTAAGTACTTTGAAATTAAGCTCCAATTTATAGTACTGTGTATACAATTTAATTAGACAGTTAATCAAACAATGAAACATTGCAACAGTTTCACTGATGATGCCACTGCAGCAGAAGGAAAACATCAGCCTGTGTCATGCAGCTGAGAGAGGGGGACGGCATCAGTGTACCACTAGAGTGCACCCTGCAGCCTTGAATACAACAGCGATGAGTAAGAGACTCACAGAGACATAGGGAGGTGCAGAAAGAGAATATATAAGGGGTAAAAAGGAAAAGGAAAAATATGGAGAGGGCGGTGAAGTAGGGGAAACAGAGTCAGAAGGTATATGAGAATTTGGTGGTGCAATAAAACAGATGCAGGATAGAAAAAACCCATCAAATCAGAAGAGACAAAGTCAGAAGGAAAGGTGTGCCTCCCTCTTGTGCTCTTTGGCTGTACGGGGCTTGCTGCCACTGTCATGTAAAGTATCCATGAAAAAAAGTATCTCTCCATCCTGCTCATGAACATCCCATGATCCAGGTCTGTCTCCTGTCACTACTAGCTTCGCGCACTCTGCTGCTATTGAAAAGCAGTTCTTTTTATATGATTTACTTATCAATGATCATTAAGTGTCAGTGGATCCTAAAAGATTCGTCCACCCTAAATAGACAGTTTACCACAAAATGAAAAATATAAATGTTCTTAAATTAAATTGTTTTAGTGTGAGATGCCAATTGTTTTAGAAACTGAGTGTAGATATATCTGCATTCTCTCTAATATAATGGGACTAGATGACACTTGTGATGAGTTTTTATTAGGGTAATGTAGTTCGTAAATGAAGCTGCTCACAACATGATCTGAGGATTATCTTGTGTAACCAAATCACCTTTTCTGAAATGAGACATTGGTGTTGAGTTTTAAAATATATTTTCTGACGCTTTGAGAACCACAAGCCAAGTACAATATAATGTCTATATTCTATTGTGTTTTAAAGAAGGCAGAAACCCACACCGAAACAATCTAGATAAATAAATAGGACCACGGGTAAGAGATAATCCCTTTTTGGTCTGATGCTGCCATGGCTATCTTACTCATCTAGCAAACTGATGCCTAAAATGACCCTGACAGCGTCATGTAGTGATACTGCAGTACCATTTTAGCTGCTCGTTTTGGGAGCTGTGATGTGGCACTGATGTACTCACAGGGTGGAACTGATTCTCCCCACTCCCTGTAGCCAATCAGTGGAAAAAACACAGAGTTTGACTTTGATCATGCTGGCCCGGCATACGGTATCCTCAGTGGTAGCAGATATCATAGCAAACCACACTGCTACCTCAAATAGTGCAATGATGACACTTTCAGCCTGTCCAGAAATGTCAACAAATGAAACTGTGAGGACATAATCCTTCTGTACAATGTTGCTCTATGGTTCCTATTACTAAGGGCATTTCAAGACCGTCTTTTCTAAATGTAGTCACTTTATGGGGGGCACTTGATGTAAACCCAAATGATAATTTTATTGAAGTTCGAAGGATATAAGAATTTCCATTTTAAACAAACTTAACAAAAACGAATAACAATAATATGACTAATTGTATACTAATTTAGTTAGATCGGAGTGTTTTATCCCGCTTTTGGTGTCAAGTAGGTTATGATGAAGATTAATGTATTTTTAATTTACACATACATTTTATTTTTAGCAATAAATGACAGATGTATTCATAATGCTGGACACCCTACTAATTAGTTATATGCACTAGATTAACACATCTGCCAACAAGCAATGTGTGTGAGTGAATGTTAATAGTGGCGTGCTTATATGCTGTTTTGTACTGCATTTATCCCCTCGTTTTAAAAACACCACCCGCCACTTTAATCACTCCTCCCAACACTTCCAACGCTGGCTTCAGTTCAAGTCTAATATATTCTGGAGGGAGGGGGGGTAAAGTGAGATCCTCACTGGAGGAGCGCAGAGCGATGCAAACAGAAAGCGGGATGCATGCAAATGAGATGAAGCAGTCAGGTATTTATGATGCTGGTTAATCACTGAGGGAATTAAGTATTTAACCATGCGCGCATTATCTGTGTATCGTTAACATCGTTTAGATAGATTTATTCCCTATCAACACAGACGACCCTGTAGCATGAGCTGTATATCAAAACAGTACTGAAGCTGAGCCGTGTACCATAAGGACTCACTGTAAACCAGAAGGTTATTACATTTGCTATATGTAATAAACATAAATTAGGAGTTTTACAAGCGATTGCAATAATGCATTATGTCTCTCAACCTTACTGGCATTATTACATCACATATACTAAGTAATCCCTATGTGCAAAGCAACGTGACACTATTTACCTGCTGCCCACGTTATGCACTGTTTTATGATTGGTTTTGACATTTAGCATAATGCGCGGCAGACATGCTCTCAAGAGAAATTGAAGAGCATGCATGCATGGCAATTCTTGCAGTGGGATCCAACCACAAGGTTCACCTTGTTTCAGGGCAAATGTCATCTCCTACTATCAAATTAGTAAATGTCAATATGTAAGACACATTTGATCGCCTAGCACCTGCTGTTTTCATTGCAGAAAATAGGTTTCATTTGAGGTTTTATTCATAACTTGAATTGAACCACTATCTGTTAGTAATACTGTATATACTGTATGTTCAGAAGGCTTAATACAAGATTGAAAACTGAGGTGACTGAGAATATAAGTCAGGCATGTGGCAAGCTCAGAGACTGATGTCATTTTGACCTTCAGGTTGATTTGATAATAAAACCAATATATTTGTGTTCCCAAGAAAGGCAAGGTCAAAAGTTGCTTGAATGTGAAAGCTTTGCCCCTCCGTAATAAATAATGTATCTGATGTTTCTGCCATTCTGCACCTTGTCCCCAGTATTTCCAGACACGACATGATCTCATTGTTGTCTGAAGTTTCAAAGGCCATTTGTTAAGAGCTGACAATTAATGAAAAAGTCCTACCTTGCGAATGCCTTCTTTTGACTCCTCAACGTTGTTTTCTCCTCCTCCGGTGCGGTTAATCATGCGCCACATCTGGGAGTACATGGGATCTCTCTCGAAGGGGTTCATAGACTTGTAGCGGACCTGATCATATACTGCTGAGTCCAACACTGTGCCATAAGGCAACTCCGTCTGCTTGGATAAGTCCTGGAGGGACCTGGCGAGAAAAGTGGTAGATAGAGTTAGTCTTTGTTTCCAGTCATCCATTCACTTTAAGCGCAATGCAGACTCTGGAAGAATGGTTAGCTTCACATCTCACATGGGGCTCACTTCATCCCCTGGGTATTACTGTTGTGGTGATACTGCAGGTACTTGGTGGCTACAGTAATGGATATAGCAGTGCCCTGTTTCCAATAGAATGCTCTCTCTGCAACAAGTATCCACAATGCACTGCAAGGCTATTTCATCTACTGCAGTGATGACACTTTCTAACATGGATTTGGAGTGAATAGTCTGTCCAAGGAATAAAGAGTTGATCCTTCTGTACAAAGCCAGTCCATAGTAATCAATCAAAAATAAATATGTTTCAATGCATGTTAACTCACTAGTACTTTCGAGCACTAAAATGTATTATTATTCACAAAAATGCAAGAGTAAGTCAAGTGACTACTTGTTATGGACTGGCTGTTTTGGGATGATGGTGTACAATGTATTGAGTTCAGAGTGCATTTAAACAGCAGACCTGAAGCCGTGCCTTGTTAAAGGACACTTCACAGGTGTTTTCGTCTTCTACAAACTTATATTATCCTGGAAGCTCTACTGTGTATCTCAGCATGTATTTGAATTATTATCCATCATTTTTATGAGTGGATTTAGGATGAAATATAACAATATAATCCAAACAGTTGACACAGAGGTAAAAACATAAAAACATGAAAAGCAAGTGCACATCCAATGACCTGGATGAAATCCCTCAATGTGGTGATTCCGTCTTCGCACTTCAATGTGTGCCCTTATGGGACATGGTGAATGATTGGGTCTTTGTTACTGTCTGAGTATCTCCCTGTGAAAGCTGAAAGCCCTGGACAGCGGGCAGTGGACAGAACACACAGAGAGTTAATGAAGTGTCCAGCTGTATGTGGGCCACCCTATATTTTCCCTTAAAAGAGTGGTCTAGATCTAAACTCTTCAAATGCCAAAAGTGGGAGTTGGGGATGACATGTAATTCACATGGAATAAAAATAGAACAATGGCAATTGGCCGTGACCAACACATTTGAGAAAAATGGGGGTGGGAAGCAGGTTAGACAGCAGCACTTACTCACAGTGCTGAACAAGATGCGTGGCTTACTGCACACAGTTTATACTTACAACTGTACAAAGACAATATCAGAGAATTAGAAATTAAGAAAAATGTAAAATAAGTCATTCAGTTCTTTTTAAATCCCATCCCTTTCTCTCATCCTTCCTCTCTCGCTCTGCCCCTCGAACATAAATTGCCACCTCTGGGGGAATACACAAGCTATTGGTAATTATAATGCAACCATGCCTGGGTTGCCTCTCAAAGAGTTTGGCCGCTGAGAAATGTAATGGAGAACCATTACAGGAACTAATTTGTTTTTAACTGTTTGTTAAATGGCTGCTACATACCACCCATGGATTTGGGAAACACACATTTTGAAACAAAACATTTCCACAAAAACACTCAACATGTCCTGCTTAATGAAGAACGTGTTTACAGTATGACTTCATTAATTCCCTTGTAATACAAACACAATAGCAGATTTAACATCGGGCCAACATATAAGTAGGTTCTGTTCACATTTGAACAAGACTGCACACACAGAAACGCACACACAAAATAACATTCAGACGTTTTATGGACGGTCACAGTTCCTGCAATTTCTCTCTCTCTCCGATGCCCTCTTTAACTATCTCTCTGACCCGCTCTAAAAGAAAAAATTAACTTTGAAGATTTTAATGAACTTTGCTGGGAACATGAATCTTTTATTGCCATCAATTAATCTTTGGCCTTAATAATCTCTCCGTCCCACTACTCCCCTCTGTGAATGGGTTTCACTGGGTAATAACTCTGCGTTTGTTTTTTAATGGTAGAATAAAATGTCAGATGAGTTAAGATTTTACTGAGACCAAAAGAAAATAATGAATGAGACTCACAGTGACTTAAGCTCAGTTATACTCCTACAGTGAAAAACACAATAAAAAATGTATGGCTGAAAATATTAAAAGGGCATTCAAAAATGTATTAAATCTCCATGTCTAAACTTAGTTTTACGATTTTGAAATGTTTTATGTGAAACTAATGTGTGCATGTGATTGCCTCTTGTCCTGTGAGTATGCTGTAAGATATTTTGCAACCAATTATAATACCTATAAGTAGACCAATGAGCAAGTTATGGAGTGAAAGGCAGCTGAATATATTTTTGAAACGTGTTTGTTTTCATCTGTCTGTGTATAGAGTTTGTTTTAGCATATTTGGTCCTCTGGTCGTCTTCCTTAAGTGATCTTTTCTGGAGTTAATTTGGTTTATATGCCAACTGTTTGAAATAGTTTAAAAGAAAACTAGTTCAATAAAAGTATTTGTGGAGTCAAAGGATTGGCTTTTTTTTTTTTAATGTTTTTTGGAAGCCAAAAGACAAAGATGATCTTGGCTTTGTGATTCTGTAGGGAAATTAATTCTGATAACGGCAGTAGAGCCTTGATCAGTCCATTAACTTTTTAACAAATTGCTGTTGAAGCACTGCAGACAGCTGTGCAACCTTGAACAGCAAGCTATGTGTGCTGACAGAAGCCAAACCAACATGGTCTTGAGAGTAGGCTTAGCTAATCTATATTTTAATTAATTGTACTAGAGAAGAGTAGGTCATATAAATGCTGGTTTCCTTTGTGTGTATCATATATGCATCATCATTAGGAATTTAGAGGTCTTTTTATCGGTGATCACTTTCTATATGAGATCGTTGGTCACTCCCAAGCAATGTCATAACATGTTATCACTCTTGTGCAGAAGCTAGCTTATGCACTACTGTTTAAGTGTTTAACATTATTCCATTCATTACTTTCATCATATACTGTCAAAGAGACAATGCTGTTACAATCCCGTTCTCGTTAATAGAGGGCGATAAAGTGAAAGTGTGACGGTAAATCTTGACTTCATGGCCCTTAAGAAAACATGCCAGACTTTGAATAAGCCAATGAGCCGCTGACCAGTGGAGCCACTCTGCTGTCTGAGCTACATACTGGGATTTTACAGACAAGCATGCATACATACAGAACAGTTACCAGCCATTATGAAGCTTACACGAGAACACTAACCACCTGATTGACTTTACTGGCATCATTAGCGACCGTAACATAATGAGACACCTGCTGTGAGAGATTGAGCCAGAGAGAGAAGCTTTCTATCCTCAAACACTCCATCTGTCTTTCAATCTTCCCATCCTGACCAATTGTTCCCCTCCATTGCTTTCATCTCCCAACAGTTGCCACCTCCTAACTCACGTTAAAACGTCTGAAATCTATTGCTCATTCTCCTCTTCACCACGAGCTTCTCCTCTCTCTTCTTGCGTGCTTTTTTCCAATGTCTATTTACTTGACTTCACTCTTCCCTTCTAACTTTTATCTTTCGTCTCATCTTTTCTTCCACCTGCCTCCTCTCTTTATTTCCACTTTATACCGTTTTATCTCTCTCTTTGTATGTTGCTCTCTCTTTCTCCCTGCCGCCATCCCTCCCCGTTTTCCTAAAGGATTCACACTGAAATTGAGGGAAAACATCCAAGCGTGAAATAGTCCGGAGAGGGTTCTGAATGCTCACTTGTTATTTCATTTCCAGGATGAAACAAGGGCATTAATACTTAAAAACCCTGTCTGTCCTGCTGGCTCCCTGAGACACGAAGACGGGCGATGCCTCCATCCTTCCCCTGCCTTTCTTTCCTTTCCTGTCTCTTGCTTGCTCTTTTCCATACTTAAATAATTTTCCCTCTCAATAACTCACTCCCTAAACCATTTTCTCTCCTACCATCTGTGTAATATGTTAATCAAGTATTCATCAGATTAAAGTGCACGCTAATCACAACATCACAATCCTCTCTTTTTCCTCGCTTGGCTGCTCTCTTCATCTCTGCGTTGAGGTTTTGTTATGCTTTACGATTACTCTGTTTGTTTTGGGTATGTTCCTTCTCATCCTAAAACCCATCTTTGGAGACCCAAGGCCATGCGGGTGCTGCTGTTAAGGTGGTAATTATGCCACTAATGACCCCCGAAGAGTCAACACATTAAAGATAATGCATTCAAATGTATGGAAATCCTTAATTAGCTCAATGGATGCTGAATGAGGCGGTAAACTGAGAGGCACTCGCTAATGACAACAAATTGAAGCAGAAAAAAACATCAAAAAGAGACAAAAGAAAAGTGATTTTTTTCCTACACACTTTTAAGGTTCTATAGAAATAATTGGATAAAAGGGGGGAAAAGACAAAATGAAAAAGAGAGAGGAGTGGAAACAAAAGTATAAAAGGAGGTCTGTCAAAGAAAAAAAAGAGAGGGTATAAGAAAGTGACGTACAGTATAGTCAAACTGACAGAAACTAATTCAGCGACAGATAGAGATGAGATTTTGAGAAATAAATGTTGTTTATTCCAAAGCCAAGCACAATTAACTGTGGCACTGCCGGGCATAGCGGATGCTTCAGCATGCTGATTAGTCCAATGAGAGATGAGCGTTTCCTTGTGCCACCAGGAGAGAAACAGGCAAACATATTATCACAAGGATAGATAAACAGAGGGCACTGAGCTTAGGGAAATGATGTGTGTGAGTATTTGAAGGGGGCTGGGATACACGCCACTTAGGACCAAGGAGGAACATGCTAAAACACTGTCTTCTTACTTTCATAACTACTTGGCCTCATTTTCGCTCTCTGTTTCTCCATATCTTCAGTATCTACATCATTGTATGTATACCAGAGGTGGGGACTCGAGTCACATGACTTGACTCGAGTCGGACTCGAGTCACATATTTTTGGACTTGAGACTTGCTTGACTAACATTGATAAAAGACTTGACTTGACTTTGACTTGGTATTCATGACTTGAGACTTGACTTAAGCTTGAGACAGATGACTTGAAAGGACTTGACTTTTTAAAATTAAATATTTGCGTTTGTTTTTGTAGTGAGATATTACATTTAGTTTTTTCGAAATGTGATTGGGTGATTATAGCGCCGTGCGCGCAAACCTGGCAACCCACTAGACGGCATGAGTGTCAGTTAACATGGCAGCGGCTAGCGTTACTCCACAAATAGTCAAGTTTGGATTCAAGGATTATGTTGTCGATAATAAGAAGAGAACAGCGGTATGCAGGGTCTGCAGCATAAAGATCAGTGACAGGACCACCATAACATCCAACTTCATTCGTCACTACAAAAAAACCCACAGAGAAAGGTGCGTGAATGTGTTGTGTTAGCTAGAAAGCTAACGTTAAGTGTAAGCTACGTTAGACTTGGTTTCAAATCGATTAAGCATTGCAAAGAGAAGACAAAACGGTAAATGAACACTAGAACCGCCAAGGGATTCATTTTGACTAACCCCGATACTGACGGGCTGTCAGGAGAGGGAGAGAGAGAGAGAGAGAGGAAAAGAGATGCCTCGTTTATTTCCCCTGTGTTATCAGAAGTTACTGTAAACTGTTGAATAATGTAAACTGTTGAATAATGTAGTCTACTTTTAGTAGTTTGTTTAAATGTTTTAATTATGTTGTTTTTGTTTGTAGAAGTGCATCATTCCTTGATTTATTGTAAAAATTAATCTGAACTTTTTGATCTGTTATGATGATAAACTGAAGCAATTTCAAAATTAACCCAATTAACTGAGTTTTAAATCGTCCTACTTAGTTTATAAGGAAATTATGAAGAGGAACAAATTAAATGATTTGAAAATGATATCTATGTAGGTGCTGACGCTGTTGGCGGTTCTAGTGTTAACAGACATTTAAATTAAATATGTGTAATGGCAAATGCCATATATGATTTTCTTACCTGGAATTCTGCCTTTTTGAACAGACTTTTTGACTGAGTCATAGCTATATTGTCTGCAGTTCTAGGGTTAATATTGATCTAATATGATTGTCATTGGTCTAAATTAGATTTCAAATGATTAACTGTGTATGTAATGAAGATCATAGTGTGGGTTGAATCCATTTTAATAACCACTGTCTTTTAACTGATTTAAATGCGGAAACTGGGCTTATTCATCAGAATTTTGTATGACTTGACTTGACCTGAGCAATGACTTGACTTGACTTGCTTGACTCTCACCACAGTGACTTGGGACTTGCTTGATACTTGTAGGTCAAGACTTGAGACTTGCTCATGACTTGCACATGTAGGACTTACTCCCACCTCTGATGTATACACACACACACACACAAAATAAACTAACAAACAAACACAATGATATATCCCAACTTGAGCGAAACAGGAAATTGCTATGCTACAACGGGGTGATGAAGGAGGGGAGAAAGGAGGGAAAGGATATGGAAGTAATTGTGTGTGTGTGTGTGTGTGTCTCTTATGCATTACACCTGCTTGTTAAAATGGATTTCAATAATCAAGCACACTGGGGGAGACCGCAGAGTGTCTCAGTGTGTTAGAAACAATTTGTCATGCACGCAAAGCTACACACCAACTATGATGAATATATTTGAGCAAATGTAATTGTGTGTGTGCACAGTTAAATGCATAAATACCTTTGTTCTGGTACCTCTGTGAAGTTGTGATGTGCAACTTTAAGAAAAAACTAAATCTTGGTAATGGGTAATGGTTAAACAGTTTTAGTTTTTGTATCACAATACCTATGTCGAAAGAACTGAGTTTTTCAGAAGGTAAAGCCATAAAAATACAACTGACAACATTGAAGGAAAATCTGTTGGATACTTACTGTATGGAGTTCTCTATGCGTGAGATGGTGAGGAATGCTGCTAGGTTGGCGGTATATGAGGAAATGACAATAAGAGCAAACATCCACCAAACGCCCATCATCATCCTTGTAGCTAGAGTAGTGTAGGGCACCTCCCCACCTAGAAAGAAAGAACGAAAGACAGTTAAACCAACGCATACTCACGGACAAAAATAAATGCAAGCAATTTTAGCTGCAGGAGGAAAACCTGTTAGAACAGCAAAGTGAAAGATTATGTTAGGATTAACAGATCTGAGCTGATGCTTTGGCACTGATCTCATCCACACCAAAAGTGGGAGGCACTGCAGCGCATTTAATTTATCCTCTTCTAGAAAGACATCAAAACAACATAATCTTTGCGACATTTTACAGATCTGACAATATTTATATAGTGAGGTAAAATTGGCCTCTGCAGACTGTGTTTAAATCTCTGAAAATGTCTCATTAAACAATCACATTCAAAATGCCAGCAGGCCTAACTGTTTCGACAGAGGTTCAAACAATCTAACATGCCACTGCAACAAATGTAGTTGGAAAACACCTTGAGGAATCTGAACAGAATGTGTATGATAGGATTTAATGCTGCCAGGCGAATAATACAGTAAACAGTGGCCTGTCAGTCTTCAAGTATAAAACCGGTGTTATAAAAGCTTTTGGCCTTGTCCTCTGGAATGTTTTTGTGCTACTGTGAAAAGCAAACTGCCTCGGCTTTCTGAAAGCTTTCAAAAATAGCTGTCACTTTAACCATAGCCCACGAAAGAAAACTAAAAATATGTATTAGAATAGAAAATAACACACATTTACATTACATGTCATTTGTTAGATGCTTTTATCCAAAGGGACTTACATACATTCGGTACTGTGGACAATCCCCACAGGAGCAATTTGGGGTGAAGTGTCTTGCCCAGGGACACAACGACATGCTGACTGCAGTGGGACTCAAACTTGCTATCCCCTGATTCGAAGTCCAGCACACTATCCACTGAGCCACACCCTCCCCCTTTACATTTTCTTTTATATATTGTGATAGGTAGATTGTGAGCAAGTGTTTATATTTGTGAACGCACAAATTAATGCAAACCTCTTAACAACCATGCAAATACACATTTAAAGGGGCCTATTATGCAAAATGCACTTTTTGATGTCTTTTATACATAGATATGTGTCCCCTCTGTGGCCACTTTATGATGTCATAACGATTGGCTTGTGTAATCATGAGCCAACACCCAACCAAGGTATCCCCCCCCCCACCACCTTATCACCTGAATCTCCTCCTTGAGCACCATTGTGTTTTTTTTAACCAAATCTCAGAGGGGCGTGGGGAGTGGCTCCTTATTTTCATCTAAAGTAACAGACAGAGAATCAGCACTTTTGAAACAGGGCTAAAACAGAGGGGATTATGGGATGCTACAATGATCTGTTTGGTATTTGGAGCCAAACACTTCAGAGACATGTTTTGTATATCTGACACCTATAATATATTGATGAAAAACAGTATAATAGGGGACCTTTAAGTAAGCTTGCCTAATGTACGGTTACACACAAATGCACAGAGAAATGATTGATTTGCAGCCAATGATCTCTTCCTCACTGCCTTTATTGAAGCCTGTTAGAAATGAGCCTCCTTCAGCCTTGAAGCAGGAGATCACCGTAACGTGGAGTCAGACCAACAGACAGCGCTCTCCCCTCTCCCACTTCCTCCAGACCAGACTCAATAATATATGTGATACCCATGTAATTCCATGTTCCTTTTATCTCGCGCCACTTCTCTATCTGCATTGCATTTCCTTCATTTCAGGCCTTTTCTTCATTGCTTATAGCATTTGGTTCATTGTATAATCCTTTCCCCTTTTTTCTGGGGTGTTATTATTTCTCAGGCATTACATCTGCAGTTGGTTTTACAATGAGCCCGAAGGCAGAGTGATGTGTAGTACTGCACTCTATTTATTAAGTTCAAACAATGTCTTTGAATGTTTGCTTGTGTCTTAGCCTCATATATCTATCCTTTTATGCTGTATACATTTATACAAAAGGAAATTACCTGTTGAGTTTTGTAAATGTGTTGATGTACAGTATGGTGTTTTCCCTGCAGAGTATGCATAGAACTGTGGTTATGAAATCCTTCTTTTCATTTGATGTGCTATTTATTTGATCATTTATCCTGACTGAGATTGACATCTATTGATGACAGGCCAGACAATAACAAATATGGATAGAAAAACCTGGGAGAGAGAGAGAGAGAGGGGGGGGATAGACAGAGAGGGAGAGAGAGAGATGTAACATCTTTGCAAGATTTTATATAAACTTGAATTCATGAAGATCAATAAAAATAACAAAACGTTGAGAAGTGGGTTGAGAAAGCTCTTGAGATGTTTTACTTGAAGTCAGGCATTGATTTGTAAAGGTGCCAACATGTGAGAAGGTTGCAGTTTAGTATGGACCTTGACATCAGCTCTTGAAATAGCAAAGTGTCTGCCCCAAGCTATGCTTTTAACAAAAAGCATAAATAGTTTTGATGTCATAATTACTGCCGACCATTGAGGCGAAACATAGTCAACATTGCACTGGTGACACTGAAGTCTCATGGGGAAAGACGATCCAAAGGACAGGTCTAACGTTATACCATATAGTCTTCCTTTTGTAAAAGGACATGAAATATGCACACACTTACAGTCACACTCCACTAAGCTATCGGAATCACTGTATTAACGGTGTACTTATAACAGTGTATTGTCCTAACAACCTATCTTATACTACATGATATGGTACTACATACTCTGCTCTAACAAAACCATACTTCATACAGGGGAATACACCCAGATGGATTCAACATTGAGCAACAATATGGAAGTCAGCGAGCCCTTCAAGTTTGAGAGTTGCTGATGTACATGTATTATGTATATGTACCTTTTGTATTCAAAAGGAAAACATATTTGCCCCAAATTTACCAAAACAGCTTTATGATAATAAACAACAACAAAGAAGAAACAAATGTTGTTGAATATGTATGATAAATAAATCCCAAGTCTACTACAAATGAACAGCCCCAAAGGCCATGCTGCTTATACATAGGATTGATCTGATTAGTTCCTGAGGAGTGATGCACATGAGATCAGTCTAACTGGCTTAATAAAGATCACATTGTGTTGACAACAGAGACAGAATGCTCCTTCAATGACGCTAAGCGGGACTAAGGGAAGAACATTGTGAGACACTGTAGAATAAAGGTTCTCCCTAAGGCATTCCTGACAATTCCTGGTAAGAAAGTATACATATGTGTCTCTGTTGCAGGTCACCCTTGAAAAAGAGATCAATGATCTCAATGGGATTCACCTGCATAAATAAAGGTTTGAAATGAAATGAAATGAAATGTATGTGTATGGATTCAATAGGAGGCCTTGCTAGCAAGAAGCTGCTTTGTTGTGGAAGGTTTGACAGCTTCAAAGGTACCCTTTTGTGTCCCCTCTTACCATCATGTCTCTACATGCTTCCCCTCTCATTCTCTGCTGTTCTCTTCTCTAGTTGTGGGCTAAAATATGTTCTCTTTTTTTTAAGAACCTACTAGAACTGGGGAATCAAAATCTGAAAATGTGCTATTTTGTAGCTGGAAATATTTTAAATCAATGTTGCTGTGTTAGATATTAGAATGTAGTTGTCCTAACTTACAGGTATCCATTAGTCTTGAATTGTTTCATTACTATAGCAGACCCTTTCTGTTGGCTTACTTGCTGTGTTCCTTCTTTGATTGACTGAGTGACTGCATTTCTGGTTGTCTACATAACGGATGGGTTCATTAGATATCTGGCTACAGGCTGGCAGCCTGGTCCCTTGGCTCTGTGACTGACTGCCTGATTGACTTGCTACATTCCTGGCCTCTTAGCTGAATACATGCTTCCTCATTCTCCTGCCCAGTAGCAATACACCCCTACACAAGCTGCACTCAACAGAAAAGACAACTGCACGGATTCCTTCCCAGGGCAGCTAAACAGTTTCACTTGGAATGAGTCATCTCGCTGATATACACTCATGCTAAATCATGGTAAGTTTAAATAATAAATCATACTGTACAAAAAGTGCAATTATGGTAAGATCAATCAATTTGAATCAAGTTGTTTTAACCAAACTACCAGAGTAGAGGTATCAGAGTAATATTTTTTTAAAACATTATTTAGATAATTTAATTTCTAGATTGAAATGAATCAAACAAGTAATAAGTACATCAAGTCCTTGGATATACAGTATGAGGGCTTCGGACACAGGCTTCATCTCTCAGTGCTGGGACAAACTAATCAGAGAGGAACAAGATTGGACCAAATGCCCTTGATCCTGCTTGCACGTGTGCTGTAAATCTGAAGGGATGGCTTTGAGGCCAAGACCTTTTGTGTAGAAGGTGGTACATGCTGCGACACAGAGCCTTCTCAGGGGAGCGTGTAAGACATGTGGTATCTTTGTTACTTGACTTTTACCTGTTTGTGCTGAGGGTTAGTGGTGCCTCTGGGCAGGTGAATGAATGTCAGCAACCTTGCTAACTAAAGTTTCTAGAATCTTCTACTTTAATATCCTAGTCTTAGCTGATCAGAGTTGTTCAGTTCAAGTCTAAATTAAGTGCTGGTATTTCTTGATTGAGGAATAATGTAACAGTGGCAACACACTATTATTATGTATTTATAATCTTCTTTGTTTGGTATTTTGAATTGTGTTTATTCATAAAATGCCTTTATATAATATAAGAAAATATGTTACGTATATAATACCATTTGCATAATTATATTTGTATAAATGGGTTACCAGCTGCTCCTTACAATAAGGATTACAATAAGAGAGTGAAGATAAAGTAAGTCAACGTACACAGTGATTTTCTCAGTGGGGGATTTGGTCAGCTAAAATAACAACAGTAAGGAAGCTGCATTTTAATATTCAGCATCAACTTATAAACAAATTGTGCTCTAACATTTGACCTCTGACACAACCAAAACTATTCCAAACATATTGTTTTATATAAAATCTGCATGAAAACAATGCTTTGAAGAGATGAGAGGTCGGAGTACAGCAGCCAAATGGAGAGGTTTAACTTCTCTTTCAGCTAAATATCCAGAGGGGGGTCAACTGATGGAAGAATTA